GAGATGCTTCTAGTTTACATACCACATTTTACTGAACATAGTGTTAGATTTCTCAGCTTAGTTTCATCTCCAAACTCCTATATAATTCAAAATGCTCCTAGAGCACATTTTTGCTCTACCACTACCTGTAAAAAAAAAACACAGCCCACAGAAGGATGTAGCCACAGGAAAACATGGAACATGAGTCTCTGCTACAGTAGACAAAAAGAAACGGAGTCGTCTAAGCTCTGGCTTTGCCCACTCCGAGTGCAGGTGAGGAAGTGGGTACTAGAAGGAGGAGCAGGAAGTTGAGAGTTAAGGTTGGAAGTCTCAAATAAAGCCATGGGCACATGTTAGATTTAGATTCCTGTCACTCTTACTCAAGGGCTCCTGATTACTCATACTATACTTTTTAGAGCCACTGTTCTAACTAGGCTTTTTCTCTTTTCATGATGCTGTGAAGCCTTGCTACTAAAAAAAAAAAAAAAAAAATGTGGTTCACGGGCAAACATCTCTAGCTGGGTGCTCTCAGAAGCACAGACCTCACATCCCATCCAAAAACTCCAGAAGTCATATCTCATCTTAACTAGATGCCTTGTGAATAATGTACTTACAAAAGTTTGAGAAAGGTGGCCTTTTGCCATTAGCATTAATACTAGTTTTGCTGTGTTGTAAATCTTTCTAATATTCTCATTAAAAAAATTACTTACAGTTCTCCCTGTCTGCCATTTTAGACCCGGTGAAAGTCAGGTCATTTAGTAAACATACTTGGGTCTGTCTACCAGCGTTTTTCAGCCCTGGTTGTACAACTAGAATCACCTGGTGAGCACTTCAAGAATCATATTGTTCCAGGTCCCACATCCCAGACCAAGTAAATCACATTACCTGGGTAAGAGCTGATGCTTACTCTAAAGTAAAACAAAACAAAAAACCCAAGACCCTTATGTTTAAAAGAAGAAATCTACATGTTCTGAACCTCCAAATGTTCTTGCCATAGAACCTGGGGCAAGTTGTAGAGTGCAGTGGGTAGCATGTGCGTTAGCAATGGGTTTGAGGCTAGGGGTGCTATTAGGGAGCAGAGATACTCAGGACATGGAGAAGTACAGGGAGTTCAAAGGGCAGACACTGCTGGGGCTGGAGAAGCAGCCAGCTCGGGGGAAACAGTAGGAGAAAAAAATGCGAAAGAAATCCTATATGGCAGGTCTCAGGGAGTCAATCATAAAGAAGATGCATACAAAAGTCAAACACTTAGGGCAGGACAAATCTCAGTGTAGAGTTCCCCAAAATCTTCTCTGTTAGCACTAGATTTATATTCTAATGCGCACCCAATGATTTAGTCCAAACATAAGCAACAACAGTCTTCTTTTGCAATGGTCTGTGGGACCTGCAAACTCTGACAGTTTGCACACCAAGACTTCTTTATGCCCTTGAACTTCCTAGGACTTAAAGAAAAGTAGCCTGCCTTAAGATGCACTGACGTGTACCCCAGTGTGCCCCAGTGTGACCCTGGAAACATGCCAAGGGCTGCCTAAGAATCAAGAAAGTTTCTGAGTGAAAGCTTATGAATTCCTTAGCATAATAAACATACTTTATAGCCATATTCTCTCAGTGTGTTTACAGACTCCCTCAGCTTAGCTTCCTTCAGACTGTCCTTAACTGACTCTCCCATTCAGTTCTACAATAGCCAGTCTCTTCTCTGCTGGGAGTCTTACATGTTAAAGACAATGTTGTATCTGGCTACTGAATCAGATGGAGAAAAATGAGGTGTATAGTTAATGGTAATAATCCGTAGCTAATATGATTTAAAGTTACATCAGTATTGCAAAGAAAGCTCCTCCATAATGGTATTTCCTTTCTCTTAACCTTTCACAGTTAATATCGAATTTTATAGTACTGTTTTCTCTCAGTCCTGAAAACAAACCCAAACTCCGATGATTATGTGTAGAGGGACTAAGTATATAGAGAGACTGTAAAAGTATGTCCATATATTTCATCAATAGTATTAAAATAATTTCTGGAACCCTTGTTCATTCATCCCAGCTCATTCAATGGAAAGAAGGAAAACCCAGAGAAAGACTCCAAAGAATAAGACGCTGAATATGTCATGCAAAAGGGCAGAGTCCTTACAATGGCTGAACTTCTTCCTATAAGGGACAAAAGAACGAAGTCAACAGAAGCTGGAAAGGGTAGGGAGGAGGAGGGAATAAGGAGAAAGAACTTAATAGGTACAAAATTACAGTTAGAAGGGAGAAAAGTTATAGGACAATCACCATAGATAATAAATTTCTGTTATATTCCAAAATAGCCAGAAGACAAAATTTTGAATGCTTTTGGTGATAAAACATTTGTGGTGTTATAAGGTGATAAATATACTAATTAAACATATTTGTTTACATTTATTTGACAAATACATATTAAATAAATGTAAATGTTTTGAGGTGATAAATATATTAATTACCCTGATTTGATAATTGTGTGCATATACTAAAATATATTGCACCCCATAAATATGTGCCAACTTTACTAAAAGAAAGTTTTGTTCTATTATTTGTTTCATCTTTGTAAGACAGAATATTTTATCTGAGTAACTACTTTGAAGATAATGATATATAGTACATTAATGATTGTTATTCTAGTATTTGATTATTAATTTTTAGCAAAATAAAAAAGGAAGAAAATAATTTTCTTAAAAATTATAATTTTTAAAATATAATTTTAGGGGCCAGGGAGATGGCTCAGTGGAATAAGCACTTCCCTGGCAAGCACAAGGGCCTGAGTTCAATCCCTGGTTCCACCAAAAAATAAAAAAAAAAAAAAAAAAAGTATTCTCTTTCAATCTACCATTAAATTAAATATCAATTGAAGACTCATGAGACAACAAAATGATGTCTGTCAGGA